TATATATATATATATATATATAGATAGATAGATAGATAGATAGATACAGGCTACCTTTTTTTTCAAGTTTCAAAAAATGCAAGTACTAAATGTTAGAGTGGCTAATCATCCGACAAATAAAAATAATTGGAGTTCTATAACAAAATGTTATACTGCCTTGAATTTTTAGCCTCAAGCATCAAATTTAACTTCTTCTTTGCTCAAGTTGGTGTTCAACTCTGCTCTCTTGGCCAAAAAGCCTCCTTTTTGCCATTTTTCATGCCCCATAATGATAGCATTTAGCTTTGCTGTGACTGCTGGAGACAAATCGGTGACTCATGATCATGAGAAAACAGGTGAATTTTCAGTTTCAGTGTATTTTGAACGTTTGCAGCCAAGCCACCACTGGCTCAAATGACTGCATTTTGCTTAACCTAGTGTTGAAACGGCTTATTGTCATGTGAAGTGCTTGCAAAAACATGTTCTAGGCCTTGCAAGTTATTTTGTTGTCCACCACAACCCACTTCATACCAACTTTGACTTGCTTTGACAGCCGCCTCTACGTTTATGATTTAAGCTACTGGAATACACTTTGGAAATAAAGGAATGAAATGTTGGACTATTTTTTGGATAGTTATTTAAAATGGGTGTGTTTTATTCATTTGGGCATTGATATGCAGTGTTTTGGATACTTTCTTGTAGGTGTCAAAATACACCTTTATTCCTTTCAAGATATGTTTGAGATGCAAAAACTGACTGTTTTGAGAGAAATTTTGTTAAAATGTTCACAAGTCAAATGGTAAGATTGTACACTTCTACAACTCAAATGAAGAAACTGAGAAAGTTTTCAAACATTTTGGAGATTCCCTCACAAATATCAACTATTTATTACTTCTATACCAACTATGCCAGCAGTCACAGTCTAGTGAGATGCTACATTAAACACTAACCGGCTCCCTCACCAGAATCTTTGCACAACTCTTGGCCCTCATTATGACGAAGCTACAGTGCATGCAGAAAAATCACACCATGCTAGGTTGCACTATGTTATTTCAATGACCTTGCCACATTTATGGTCATAGCGTAGGTATGAAGCCAACATGGACAGTCCAGCTGGGCCACACATGTTGATGTGTGGGTCCAGTGTCAATGTTACCACCACAATGTGCTGCAACCACAATAATAACACCTTGACCTGGTCACGTCGCCTTCATCCTGTGTGGAAACAGCCTTGAGTTTGTAGAAAGAAAATCTTGAACAGTTTTCACATTAAGTTGCTTGATGTTATTTTTAGGTTGCACTAACCATACAAGAAGTCTAATATGTTGGAAATGTTAGCTGTCATACCTGCTCTAAAGACAAAGACATGGGCTCAGTATAGGTTGGTACTTTAAGGACTCTTTTGTTTTTAACATTTCAGAAAACCTATGATCTGTAACATCATCAAAATGCAGCACCAACCAAATATATTTAAAGATAAATTCATTTAAACAAAAAAGACAAATAATGTAGGCTGTTTGTTGATGAAAATGACCCATATATTGGCATTTCTGTATATCTGAACAACAAAAGGCTTATTGGCAGAGAGCTGAGTGTCACATATTCAATCAAAAGGGTGCCACAAGATTTTTTTTTTTTAAATTTTCTATAACATATGATGAATCATGATTATTTAATTGTTTTTTCCCATTTTTCAGATGCAAAATGCTGCTACTGGTGTGATCTGTGTTTATGTTGATTTAAAAAGGGACAATTATAAGTAAGAATCCTGTCAGAGGGTGGACAACAGGACATCTTGTCCAAAACAAAACGTTTTGTGAAACAATAAACCTAGAAGAGAATCTGTGTTGTCACCAGAGGAACAGACTGATTTAAAAGCATCATATTGTCAACTTTGCCACTGTTTAAATATTATCCAATACTTAAAAAATGATCACCATACAGAAGCAGCTCGGGATGTATGAACATCTAATTTTTCTGGATTTTTTGGGGGGAAAGCTTCTGCCTAAATAGTGGCTCAACTAAAAAGTGACTTTCCTCCAACTGAAAAGGGATCATATTTTCTATTTGATCAAAGTTGACACGTTACATCCTGATTTGAAAAATAACAGTGGACGGATCTTTTGCTCTCTATATGTCTGCATATGCTCCGTCTTTGATGGAAACAACTAAAAACCCAGGGGATAAAAGTGCTTTGAAGACTAAAACCCCTAGATCATAAAACAATTTGATGAAGAATTTAGAGCCAAGTGTTTTCAATCAGTGCTATTCCAAACAGCTGTGAGTGGATTTTGATTTAAAGAACAGGGATCAATCAAAGTCCAGTTCTCACAGCGCGTTTGTGGCAGAGGATCACTGAACAGAGAACGGAGACTCCAGAAGATCTCAGCAAAAACTGCGTCTTGGTTTGAAAAGGTTTTCGGTGGCGATGGGATATATAGCTCTTTTCTCAGACTCCAGATCATTTGGCTGTTTTTGGTGAGCTGATCCAAATGATCCAGATCCCAGAAAAGAGACAAAAATCCCTCCATTGGTTTCAGGAGCCATTCAGCTTCACTCCTGTTGTCTCTGTGGTAAATATCTTCTTAAAACAGTCCTACAGCTTTAAGCTTGTGTAAATTTAAGTTTGGACATAATTTTAACTTGAAACCTGAAATAGTCATGCTTTGAGCTGTAAGAGCTGGAATAATGTGACAGACAGCCTTGAGGATTAAAGTTTAAAACAAACTGAGATGCTTCTAAATTTGATCCAGAACAGGGGTCTGCAATCTGCGGCTCTGGGGCAACATGTGGCCCTTTGGTTCCTCTGCAGCGGCTCTTTCAGGCTTTGACCAAAACTAAAATAAAACTGAATTTTATTTAAATTATTTCCAACAATGAAAATAACTAGTTTCAGCAGATTTCTCGTCATTTTCAAATATGTGAAGTACAGTACAAATACACGGCGTAAAACATGTGGACTACATCATGCTAATAGTTTGTTAGCCACTTTAAGTCGACTTCGATCACAGTGTGATCTTTCTCTCAAAACTACCAGACTGTTTTGGAATATCTTTAACACAAGCTGCAGAGGAGGAATATGGTGAGGAGCTTTGATACCTTGAAACTTAAATCATATAGAAATATTTACTAATATATGTAGTGAACTAAGCCTAAGGTCAAATCCTGACCTTAAGGACCTTATGGGACAGAAGCTGTCATTTCATTGATTTGAATCCAGAAATACAGGTTGACCCATCCTGAGACTTTCTTTCTTGAATTAATCAAGTGAAAGAACACTCTCTTTTCTATTATCATTACTATTTTACAAATGTTTGATAATCAAAGTGTTTTAGTTCAAACCATTTTAGATGTTGCAGTGAACTAATCATTTTTAATTAACTGTGAAACATTAATAATGATTTTAATCCTCATGCAAAGTATAAATCATGTTAAGGTCTGTTACAGAGTAATTATGCATTTTCTGATTTTCTGTCTTTGAATGAGCAAGTGTAAGTTGGTCCAAGGTTGGAGTCAAACGCAAACAAGTTGTTGGAACGAACTGTCATGTTTTTAAATCCTCTCAGACGTAAATAGAGAAGCTGGC